TTGGCAGAGTTAGTGCTATGTTAAGAGTTTTGTTAAATAAAATTGATATCAGTGTCATTGTGACAATGATGTAAGGACCAAGAACAGTCTAAAACTCAGACTAAAATACAATATAAAGTGTTCATCTTTACCAAGAAGTGTTTAAGGAATCCATTGTTACTTTTATTTGTTTTAATTTCTAACAAAGGTAGTACTCAACCTTACTATGGAAATATCTTATAAGTGTCTTCATTTCTGTATAACATAAGGGAAATTGAGGTTCAGAAATCAGTGCCCTAAGACAGCATAAGTACTCACTAGACGAGCCAACATTCAAGCATGGAAAACTTTGCCTTCAAAATCTTAACCGTTTTTCATAGGTTATAGTTTAGGCTCTTCCACAAAATGTTATTCAAATAGGCAGGTTTATTCTTTTTTGAATAGTACCATAATAATTAAGGGAACTCACTTAAATTTAAAAGAAAAATACATTCAAATTGTACAAGTTGCATTACAGAACTGGTGTAGGGAGTGTTCATGTTCCTATTTAGTCGATCTCTATTACGGTTTATAATAGGAAATTTCCCTAGGTCTCATGTGTGGAAGGCTTGGTTCTCCATACAGCAAGTTTCCAGAGGAAGTGATTAGATCATGAAGGCTCTGACCTCATTGGTGGATTAATCCATGAGAGCTGAGAGGATTATTGGGAGGTGGTGGAAGCTGCAGGCAGTGGGTATGGTTGGAGGAAGTAGGTCATGGGAGACGTGCTCTGGAAGGGTATATTTTTTTAATCTCTAGCCCCTCCCACCCTCTCTTTCCCCCACTTCTATAAGCCGAGCACCATCTTCTGCCATGATGTTCTGCTTCACCTAAAGCCCAAAGTAATGGAGCTAGCCAAACACTGAGTGAGACCTCTGGAACTGTGAGCCCCAAATAAACATTTCCTCCTCTACATTGCTCATGTCAGGTATTTGGGTTGCAGTCATAAAAAGATGACGAACACAATCTCTATTTTTGTCTGACCTGAGTCATATACCTTATAAATTTGGCACATACCATTGTTGGAATTTATCTGGAATAATAATTTTAAAAAAACAACACCCAAATAAAACTGGACTATGTCATCTAAAACTCAAACTATTTTGAAGAAATTAAGATGAATATAAGTGTTCTTTGAATATCTCATAAAACATCAAAATAAACAATTGTCTCTTGGTCTAGAGGTTACGGATAGATTATTTATAACTGAATGGGCTATTCTTGATGAACTATGAACCCAGCATTTCAGAGGAAAGGACTCTGATAGTCATTGAACCTATCATTTGCACAGCATTACTGTGTTAGTGGCAGAACCAAGACAAGAAACCAGGTTGTCACTGTGTTCCCTTCCTAGATTATGAGATAAGACTCTTAGAAACTGTATAGTCCATGCCTCTGCTCTAGATTTACTAGGCTGTGTGACCTACAGCAAATCCTTTAAACTCTCTGTGTCTCATTATTATCAGAACCAGGCAGTGATGGTTAATAAAAACACGCTTGCTTTGGGGGTTAAATTAAATTACCAACATCACTACCCAGCAGAGTGCACAGCAAGTGAAATGGGCTCAAGGATTGGAAGTGACTGCTATTTATTTATCACCAGAGTTCTGCTTTTCCAGAAAATACTAGTATATAAATATGCTGGATTCTGGAGGTGCAGGAGTAAAACAGAAAAGGTCTCTGTGCTATGGAGCTTATTTGTTAGTGGGCCTCATTGCCACTTTGTCCTTGCCATTGCGATGTCCTTAGCATCATATGGTTTGCCATCATGGAACATGTAATCATAACTCCTTTGCAAACTTAGGGAAACTCAGGCACCATAGGTATTTGACTTAATATGTTGTTGCCTATTTGTCAACCCCTGCTCAGAATCTGCAGCGTGGCATAAATAGATTATATATACACGATGAGATTACAAAACTCAATCTGTTGCTTCAGTGACATTTGTTATTAACTTACTGCCCTGAAGGAGATGTTTGATTGGATCATCTCTAAAATGGTATGCTCCTATTTCTGAAAGGATACTTTTTATTGTGCAGGAAAATAAAATCAAAAAACTCAAGTTGAGGGAGATTTAATCCACACAAAGAATATTTGTTTCTATATGTAAAAAGTCAAGTCTCGGCATGTGAAATGAACTTGGACATGAAGGGGAACAAAACGAGAAGGTGGATTTGCAGATGTCAGGTTTGTGGATGCTGGGAATCGTCTCCATGTGCTAAATTTGACAAACCTGGTTGTACACTAATAAAATGTAATAGCCCTTCACATTCTAAATACTTCTCATGATCCTCTTAAAGTTTTACTGGCACATACTTAGTTCCTAGGGACAGCCTGAAATCCTGATAAAATAAGTGCAAGTTTCAGTACCATCTGTTAGAAAGAAACCCTTTCCCTCCCTCCTGGTTTCCTTGAGGAAACATTTTCCTTAGGCTGGTTTCTGACCCCTCTCTGCTCACTTTGCTCATTTCA